TATACTTTTTTTTTCAGCGTTGCGATTACAACATATCACACGTTTTTTAGATTTATGAATGCGGTGGTCAATCAAAGTTGAAGACAAAGTCAGCTGAAAATGTTCAATAAATAAAGTGCAGATACAATGTAAATAGCAGGTTGATTGGCCGTGTAGAGAGCTTCAGTGATTATAAGGAGTTTTTGCGAGAGAGCAGAACTTGTGCACTTTAATAATGGGGGAACATTCTTTGCTTGCTTTCTGATTATGAAATTTGCAGCTTTAATAACAGTTTTGTTTCTCATGCTGCTAGGGCAACCATTGTTTCTTGATTTTCTAATGCGTAAACACAAATTCATATATATGGTTCTCAACTTGTTTTGTCTGTGCAGTCTGTAAAAAATTATGGTCTTTTCCCAAACATTTTTTTTTAATCCATTATAAATAATTATTAGTGCAAAATCAAGGGGAGTAACTGACAATAATGCTTGAAAATGAGTATCAGGTGTAGCAAAGTTTTAGGCATTTTCAAAGACATTAGCAAAGTTTTGGCATGGTTTCCTTGCCAAAAAAAATCAGAAAGAGTGAAAGGCACCCAACTTTTGAACAAGCATGGCAACTTTTTTTCTTTGTTGTTAAGTTTTAACCTAATCAGTTTAACTGAAAACTAGGGCTGTCAAAATTAACCCACTAATTGTGCAATTATTCTGTGCAGAGTAGCAAACCACTATTTTGCACTGGAAGTGCAAGCAGAGCAGAGGCAGCGCAGGAACTGTGCATATGCAGAGCAGGAGCTTTTCACACTGGTAGCATTTGTCAAGTGCAGCTGAACCGCCACTTGTGTACTGCAAATACAGACGAGTATCGTCCATTACACCACCTTTTCTCAGGTGTTCTCCTCTGACCACTGTCTTTCACAGTATGCTTTGATTTATGATGGGCAGCAAACTCTGCTGCGATGCAACCGTGTTCCCCTCCTACTGTCCGACACACGCATGCATATAATATGCTGTATGTATGTATTTGACATGATAAAAGTAATATTAAAATTAAAATATACCTCTAGGTTTAATCATTTAGGTATTTGAAGGTTGGGCAATGCTTCTGGCACGAAAACACGAAACGCCTCGCTTAAATGATTTTATGGTGAAATGTATTATTTTTAGTGTTAACTCAGGTTTATTTTGACTAAAAACAATGCACTGTGTAATTCAGCGTGAGCGGCACAGCAAAAATAGACCCAGCGTGGGGGAAGGTTTCGCTGTTGTGTCCCCACCAATGTCAAAAGCAAACATACACCCTTGGCTTTTAAAGTGAAACCTGCTGCAGTCTTTGTCATTGATGTAAAACAAAGAACAAAAGAAAAAGAGAAGTCACTCACTGGTCGCTGATTAACATTTGTAGCTTGAATAAAGATTAATTTATTCAATTCATTTTTATGCATATACAATTCATGTCAAGATTATGTCATACAAGTTTGTCAAATTTGTTCAATTAAATTGAAAGCCTATAAATTGTTAAAAATAATGGTTTTGTTATACTCTAATGTTGAATGAATATAATTAATGGCTAAACTGAGGAAAAAACACATTTATTAGAGACATCAGTAGCAGTACTGGTATCAGTGATATTGACCTCCATTAATAATAGGCTAATTAGTAAAAATATGCCATTAAAAGCATATTTAAAATATACTGCCTTTATGTTGTTTCTATTTTAATTTGGAGGTTCAATGTGAAATGATGACAATATAAATATACTATACTAATATTTGACTAAACATGATTAATTGCAGAAAAATATGTGTATGTCAAGTTTTTGCTGTACAATAAAGCGCACAGCAAAGAACTAAATTCCAAGCAGTCCTTTTTAATAAATCCACAAGGAGAAACCACCAACAAAGATACAAACAACGAACAACAAAACAATACCTGACCATGGCCTGAAGGAAACTGAGGACTTAAATACATGGGGAACGTAATCAGGGAGAAACAGAACAGCTGTAAGTCAGTTGTGGCCTAATGGTTAGAGAGTTGGTCTTGTAACCTGTAGGTTGCAAGTTTGAGTCTCATTACCGGCATGAAATGTAGGTGGGGTGAGTGAATGACCAGCACTCTCTTCCACCCTCAGTAACCCCAACTGAGGTGCGCTTGAGCAAGGTACTGAACCCCCAATTGCTCCAGGGGCGGCGCAGCAAAATGGCTGCTCACTGCTCAAGGTGTGTGCTCACGGTGTGCGTGTTCAATACTGCGTGTAAGTCAAGGGAGGGATGGTGGAAACTTGGCCTGGAGATGACCAATGCAGATGGAGCCACTAGGGCAGGAAACCCAGATGGAGACAAGCAGACGTCTCCTGGATCTCCTGTGTTCACCACTGGTTCGCCCAGCTCCTGTTCTCCTGTGTTCCCTCCCAGCCTCTCTCTCCCACCTCTATCTATAAATAAATCCCTTGTGTGGTCCTCAAGGCAGTGATTCTTACGCATTATGCATTGTGATCATGTCGTGGAGCAAGCAATAGTATTCTCAATGAAGTAAATGAAGCAGTTGTACCTGTCATATTGTGGAAATCACCCAAAGTCCATTGGTTCACTTAAGTTCACTGGTACGATCCAATGGAAAGCACCAGTACTGCCCTATGGAGGGCACCTAAGATTCACAATCTGTATTATGACATCCAGTAGTGGAATAATCACCATATTGATCTGTCTATGATTACGTGTCAGGGATCAACGCTAATTATTTTGTCTACTGGCCCAGTCGGGCCACTGGGTCAAATTTTTACTTGCCCTGCCAACATTTTCACTGGCCCTGCCACAAGAAATGAAATAGTTGCTGTTATCATTGTTTTTGATCTGTTATCTTCTATTCTAATAAATAAACTTATATGACAGCAATATTTTAGATACCAATTGCATTTTACAATTCTGTTTCAATTTCGATACCACAGCAAAGGTCACTAGCCAAAAATAAACATAAATATAAAGTTTAAACATTATTAAAGACAAGTGACAGCCAGTAAATAAGAACAAATGAACAACAAATGAAATGTGAAATTATGACAATATAAATGTACTATACTAATATTTGACTAAACATGATTAATTGCAGAAAAATATGTGCATGTATGTCAGCTGTTTGCTGTACAATAAAGCGCACAGCAAAGAACTAAATTCCAAGAAGTCCTTTTTAATAAATCCACAAGGAGAAAACACCAACAAAGATACAAACAACGAACAACAAAACAATACCTGACCATGACCTGAAGGAAACTGAGGACTTAAATACATGGGGAACATAATCAGGGAGAAACAGAACAGCTGTAAGTCAGTTGTGGCCTAATGGTTAGAGATAGGTATGCAATATCGGTATCGGGCCCGATACTGAGCTCCTGTACTTGTACTCGTACTCGTTAAAATGCCCCGATACCAAACACCGATACCACACAGCATGTGATAAGCGCCATATTCAGACAAAGAAACACCAACAACAGACAGCAGAATGGAGTTAAGGATGTCTACTAAGAAGTATATGTATGCAACGAATATAACGTTAAACATTCAGTATTAACGCCTGTATAGCTGATGTGCGCGAGCTGATAAACAAAGCACGCTGAGTGGATTGAGCGCGCGGCGGCGCAGATGCGCGAGCTATTACAGCAAAGCGCGTGATTACAGTACTAAGCCGCTGCAATGGAGCAGCTCTAATGCTATTAAATTAAAGAAGATGTACCACAGAGCAAAAAAATTACCAGTGAAAGTAACAAAAACTTGTAAAATACATTTTAATGGGGATAATTAAGTGTGAGAATAACCGAAGGATATACAGTCAAACCAAAAATTATTCAGAGACCAGATATAATTTTTGATATTTTTTTACTAGTGG